AAAAGAAAAATTGTGTTAGAAGAAATTTCTTCTCTGGCAAAGGGAACACATGGAGAAATAAACACCATTAATATGACAATTTTATTGGATATATATATTAAATTACATTCATATTTTACAAAACATTCAAATCACAATGAAATGAAGAAACAGTAACCTATTAATTAATAAAATGGAAAGCAATAATTTGTTCACTACATTTTGTTCATATAAATTTCCTGTCTCCTTGGAAGAAATTTCTTCCGATAATAACAGTCGTAATGGGACTATGTAAAGTCACTTCAAGATGAAATATGATCAATTAATTGAACACAAATACTAAGTCTACAACAGATAAATGCATTGCAATACAATATCCACAAAAAAAATAAGGTCAAAAATCAAAAGTAGTTCTAAGAAATTTCTTGTGTGTCTCTTCCTGCAGTTTCTCTGGTAATAGTACACATAAGAATGTACTTTGTTTCTGTTTCTTTGTTGCGTTTTCTTTTTATCTGAAAAAAGTAAAGTACCACATAATTATTTTCTCTGTCTAAAAGATAAAGATGTATCAAAAGCACGAACTTAACTAAAATAATACACCAATATTCATAAAAACAAAATAAAAATTTTAAAACTTATATAATCTGTCCTCTTTTCTAGCTAAGGGATGTGATCAAGTCCCCTCCTCTCCACCCTTGGCAGTTTAAATAAGATAGAATTTTGGATCAGTGAGGTAATGCTTTTATTGGTCCCAGTTGTAACTTGCAGCATTCAATTAAAAAGGGCCTTTAAGGTGATCATGTGTAAATGTAGAAAAAGTTAATAAACAATTGTGGTGATTGTGCATCAAGTCTGAACCCCCAAAACATTATGGGACAACATTGAGTGACAATTTAAAAGTTCTTAATCAACTAATTGAAGTTCCTGTGTGTTACTTTCTTGCGCAAATGTTTGAATATCAACGTATCTTTCTGGTTCGTGCTTCCAGGAATTTGTAAACAATGCATGTATGTATAATAGACAAAATCATTTTTACACCTCCACACTGAAGAGAATGCAAGTGCTGTCGTTGGTCAAGAATGTTACAAAAGAACAATTATTCCTATAATGCAATTCCCATAGGGTACCAGTGGTGTTCCATATTTTATTCATCGAAGACTACACAAACTAGGAAAAAAATGGGTAGCAGTTCCTGTTACTAGAAATGTCAAAAACATATAGAGGGTCATGCAGCAAGAATGGATAGTGTCTTTTTGTTGTTGGGATATACAAGTACCCGGCCACGTCCACTGTGTGTTTTTGTTATATGTATTTCTATTTATCCACCTGATGAGTTGAGCCTTTTTCAACTGAATTTTATAGTTCGTTCCTATGTTGTACTGTTACGCCACTTTCCCAGGTTAGGGGGAGGGTTTGGATCCCGCTAACATGTTTAACCTCGCCACATTCTGTATGTATGTACCTGTCCCAAGTCAGGAGCCTGTAATTCAGTGGTTGTCGTTTGTTGATGCGTTACATATTTTTTTTGTTAATTTTTTTTAACATGAATTAGGTCATTGGTTTTCTCGTTTGAATTGTTTTACATTTGTCATTTCGGGGCCTTTTATAGCTGACTATGGGGTATGGGATTTGCTCATTGTTGAAGGCCGGACAGTGACATATAGTTGTTAATTTTTGTGTCATTTGGTCTCTTGTGGAGAGTTGTCTCATTGGCAATCATACCACATCTTCTTTTTTTTATATTAAAATGCAGTTGAAAACGTCTTCTTTTTCGCTTAATTAAAAAAGCAAATTTTAATGACCTTGAGGTGCAGATTTTGAACATATTTTCTATAATTTGAAAAATGTGAATTTGATTTTCTGGATTTTTTACACCAAATTGGATAAGCTTTCAATTAGGAGTAATTGCAATCCTGTATCGTCCAATCAGAACCCATACAAGATTCTATTCTGAGTACCATCTTAAAAAAAATTGATTGTAAAATTTAAACAAATAATTGCGATCTTGTTACCAGAAAGATGTAGTTGAAATGGGCATGAAATCGTAACCATTGGCAAGCGAAGATAATAAACTGTAAGAAACAATTAGACAAAAAGTTCAAAACTGTGCATGAATCGAATCATTAATAACACAGTCATGTAAAATGTAAAATCTGAATAAAAACAAGTACAACTGTGGATTTCGTGGGGTATCAATTTACATGAATTTTGTTTGTAGAAATGTATTGGGTAATACAGCATGTAAGGTGTTCAATGAAGTGTGAATTTCCGTTACGGACCAGTTTGTTTGAAGTATCATTCCAAAATTTTTCAATGTTGAGTAAATATTGCTAAAACATACAGTATTGAGGACATCTATTGAGGAATCAAACTTAACCAGAAGGCTGCGGTTCAGTCTCTCGGAACACTTAGTGAAAGTTGGTCGTAAGATACAACAAGATGCTCCAAGGAGCCTGTTTCGCTCACCTGATATTTTTATTTACAATTGATGCATGAAATAATGCAACCGTTATTACTTTTGCTTAAGTTTCAGAGATAAAAATCAAGACCTGCATTTTCCCCCTATGGTCTATTCTTAGCCATGTCTGCCATGTTGGTTGGCATGCAGGGTCATCGGACACATTTTTTAAACTAGATACCCTAATGCTGATTGTGGCCAAGTTTGGTTAAATTTGTCTCAGTTGTTTCAAGAGAAGACTTTGGAAAAGATTACAAAAATTTACAAAAAATTGTTAAATTTGACTTTAAAGGGCAATAACTCCTTATGGGATCAATTGATTTGACTAATTTGTAGATCTTACTTTGCTGAACATTATTCCTGTTTACAGTTTATCTCTATCTATAATAATATTCAAGATAATAACCAAAAACTGCAAAATTTCTTTAAAATTACTAATTCAGGGGCAACAATGGCTTGGGCAACAACGGCTTGTCTGATGTCTGAAAATTTGCTCTAAATGCTTTAGTTTCAGAGATATAAGCCAAAAAGTACATTTTACCCCGTTCTATTTTTAGTCATGTCGGCCATGTTGGTTATCAGGCGGGGTCATCGGACACATTTTTAAACTAGATATCCTAATAATGATTGTGACCAAGTTTGGTTTAAATTTGTTTCAGTAGTTTGAAAGAAGAAGATTTTTGTAAGATTACAAAAATTTGTTAAAAATTTACTATAAAGGACAATAACTCCTTAAGGAGCCAATTGACCATTTTGGTCATGATAACTTATTTGTAGATCTTACTTTGCTGAACATTATTGCTGTTTACAGTTTATCTCTATCTATAATAATATTCAAGATAATAACCAAAAACTGCAAAATTTCCTTAAAATTACCAATTCAGGGCCGGGGCAGCAACCCAACAACGAGTTGTCCGATTTGTCTGACAATTTCAGGGCAGATAGATCTAGACCTGATAACCAATTATTTCATGTGAGATTTGCTCTAAATGCTTTGGATTCAGAGATATAAGCCAAAATCTACATTTTACCCCAATGTTCTATTTTTAGCCATGACGGCCATCTTGATTGGTTGTCCGGGTCATGGGACACATTTTTTAAACTAGATACCCCAATAATGATTGTGGCCAAGTTTTGTTAAATTTGGCCCAGTAGTTTCATCAGAGAAGATTTTTGTAAAAGTTAACGGACGATGGACGACAGACGCCGGACAACAGAAGCCTAGTAATGAGAATAGCTGACTTGGCCCATTGGGCCAGGTGAGCTAAAAATCAGAGCATAATATAAAATAAAAGAAAGAATATTCCTACCAGAATCTTTTGAATTAACATTTGTCTTTTCTTGAGCTGCTCTGGTTTTTCCACTTCTTTAAAATTTTTCTTGAGCTGCTCTGGTTTTTATACGCCCGTTTACGGGACGTATTATGGTATACCGTTGACCGTCCGTCTGTCCGTCCGTCCGTCGTCAACATGTCGGACATTAACTCAAAAACGCTTTTACCAATATGCATGAAACTTTGGTGAATTGTTTATATCTATTGAGGTGAGCTCCCTTTCGTTTTTTATAAATTTGGGATTTACCATTTCCGAATTTTGGAGTTTTATTCATTAAAAAAGGGGGGATTTTCCAGTCTTCGGACAATAACTCAAAAACAATTTCACCAATTTGCAAGAAACTTTGGTGAATTGTTAAATGCTATCGACATGAGCTCCCTTTTGATTTTTATAAATTTTAGACACTACGTTTCTGATTTATGGGGTTTTATTCGTTACAAAAAGGGGGATTTTCCAGTTTTCGGACAATAACTCAAAAATCCTTTCAGCATTTTTTATGAAACTTTGGTAAATTGTTTATATCTATTGTTGTAAGCTCCCTTTTGATTTTTATAAATTTTAGATTTTATGTTTCCGAGTTACAAGATTTTATTCATAAAAAAGGGGTGATTTTCAAGTTTTTGGACAATATCCTTAAAGTGCTTAGAGCAGTTTTCATTAAACCTTGATGACTTATTTATATCTTTTAAGATAACCTCCCTTTAGTTTTTTTTATAAATTTCTAATATAACATTGAGAAGTTATTGAACTTTATTTTTATAGTCTGACAACAGATTTACTAGTATTGCGCAACAGCACAGTGTATTGCACAACAGAAAGAAATCTTTAATTGAATATAAATTCAGTTCATATAACCAATTTCAAGTTCTTTGACTACATTTATTCAGAACCTATAATATGTCAAATATTTAATTACAATCCAAATTCAGACCTGTATCAAGCTTGAATATTGTGTCCATTTTTGCCCCAACTGTTCAGGGTTTGACCTCTGCGGGCGTATCCAGCTGCGCTCAGCGAAGCAGTTTATTCCACTTCTTTTAAATTTTCCTTGAGCTGCTCTGGTTTTTCCACTTCTTTTTAATTTAGAAACTTTTTTCCTATGCTGAAGTGTTGGTTTCTTTCCACCATCTTTGTAAACTTTAACAGTACTGTTTTGCTTGGTTTTATTGTCGAGCCTGCGACTTTTGTCGCAGAAAGCTCGACATAGGGATAGCGATCCGGCGGCGGCGGCGGCGGCGGCTACGGCGTTAGCTTACTTCTTAAAAGCTTTATATTTTAGAAGATGGAAGACCTGGATGCTTCATACTTTGTATATGGATGCCTCAGGTTACGAAGTTTCCGTCAGTCACATGTCCAATGTCCTTGACCTCATTTTCATGGTTCAGTGACTACTTGAAAAAAAAGTTCAGATTTTTTGTAATGTTATATTCTCTCTTATTATAAGTAATAGGATAACTATATTTGGTATGTGCATACCTTGCAAGGTCCTCATGCCCGTCAGACAGTTTTCACTTGACCTCGACCTCATTTCATGGATCAGTGAACAAGGTTAAGTTTTGGTGGTCAAGTCCATATCTCAGATACTATAAGCAATAGGTCTAGTATATTCGGTGTATGGAAGGACTGTAAGGTGTACATGTCCAACTGGCAGGTGTCATCTGACCTTGACCTCATTTTCATGGTTCAGTGGTTATAGTTAAGTTTTTGTGTTTTGGTCTGTTTTTCTTATACTGTATGCAATAGGTCTACTATATTTGGTGTATGGAATGATTGTAAGGTGTACATGTCTAGCTGGCAGGTGTCATCTGACCTTGACCTAATTTTCATGGTTCAGTGGTCAAAGTTAAGTTTTTGAGTTTTGGTCTTTTTTTCTAATACTGCATGCAATAGGTCAGCTATATTTGGTGTATGGAATGATTGTAAGGTGTACATGTCTAGCTGGCAGGTGTCATCTTACCTTGACCTCATTTTCATGGTTCAGTGGTCAAAGTTAAGTTTTTGAGTTTTGGTCTTTTTTTCTAATACTATATGCAATAGTTCAACTATATTTGGTGTATGGAAATATTTTATGATCTATATGTCAGTCACGCAGGTTTTATTTGACCTTGACCTCATTTTCAAGGTTCATTGCTCAGTGTTAAGTTTTTGTGTTTTCGTCTGTTTTTCTTAAACTATAAGCAATAGGTCAACTATATTTTTTGTATGGAAGAATTGTTAGCTGTACATGCCTGCCTAGCATGGTTCATCTGACCTTGACCTCATTTTCATGGTTCATTGGTCAATGTTTAGTTTACTTGGTTAATGTTAAGTTTATGTGACAGTTGTAATAAAGCTTTATATTTAGGACTATCAACATAATATCAATGATTAGTAAAGAAGGCGAGACATTTCAGCGTGTGCACTCTTGTTCTGTGAGGAGTTTTTTGTGTTTTTCTCTTTCCAGATGAGCATGATGGGCCATTTTTGGAGGCTGGTTTCCGTTTTCCTTGTGAATTTGCATTTGTCTTTGTGTCTTTTTCTTTTCTTCTGGCATTTCCACCTAACACAAAAAAGAAGAAATATTTTTGTTTTATGTATTAGAGAGACAAATGTATATGCTCGGAAACGGGCCCTTTAATTGGATTCAATAAATATTCTATTTATTATAATATACAATAAAGCATCACACAATCATTGCCTATTTCAAAATCCTGACCCCCAAATGCATATGTTCACACAGGTGAATAAAACAAAGGTATGGATGGGGTTTACAGATGAAGAATGGGCCAAATCTGGGACATAATATAGTATTAGTATAATAGTCCCAGGCCAAATAATACAGAATATAGAAAAAGGATAAAAAAAAAATACAACACTGAACTGAACACCTGAGAAAACTTACCGATCCAGATCCTCATTTAAATTCACTGCATTTTGTGTCTCAGAAAGATAAAGTCTGTTTTGGATTTCGAACCTTAAATAGACAGAACCCTTTAGAACTATTCGATCATACCTTTCTATGTTAACCCCATCACCCATATGCTGACCCAGCTGTCGTTTACAGACGATGTGTATCAGTGTTCTGACGTTATTATGTGACTACATGTATAAAATGAAATCGGAAACGGAGAGACAGACTATGTCGGCAGAAGTTGCTTTCTCAGCGAACTTCAAAAACAATAATTCTGGACGATATTATCTACATGAATATTGACGTAAATACATACAGGAATAACATTAACAGTGCCTTCTTATAGCTAACTGTTTCAACTGTGACAATGCCCACTATATGTTGATGTATAATAGAAATTAGTTTTTACTGAAATTTCATTTAAAACCAGCAATAATCTGTTTCAATCCGTTTAATTAAGAAATCTTTTGAAGTTTTCATAGAATTACACCAGAAAATTTAGATGTTTATAACTGTCTGGGAATATTTATCTGGGTCAATATCCCTAATGGACCTTGAGATGAGGAACACAGATTTATGACTCTCATTAAAAAATTAGTCCGCAATACAATTGTGGAAGCTGTGATTTTAAAAATTGACATAAATGAACTAGGACTGGTGTTTTATAGAGCTGATGTGATGTGAAAAAAAGTATAAAAAAATAAACCTGAACAAATAATTACAAAGGACATATTTTTTAATGATTTTTATGGTCAGAATTTATGGATTATTTCCTGAGGAGAGTGACATTTTTCACTATCTTTCGGGGTTGGGCACTTGACGGGAAAACGAATCACACTTGCCACCCCGAAATCGCACCACACATGTGCAAGTGTCTCAGCTTCAAAATGAGCCATCATACATATCCAAGTTTACGATATGGCCTGAGCAACAGAAGAAAACGTTAACATTACCGCCTATGGAGAATCTATTACGCATATTGCCCCAAATTGTGGCCTTGAATTTCAAAGGTGATGGAGTGTTTCATGGCTCAGTGACCACAATTTAGGATGATAGCTGCTGAAATCAAGGTCAGTTACACTCTTTTAGTGCTAATTAATCAAAACAATACAAAATGGCTTCCCAAACTTTTGATTTTTGTCGAGCCTGCGACTTTTGTCGCAGAAAGCTCGACATAGGGATAGCGATCCGGCGGCGGCGGCGGCGGCGGCTACGGCGGCGGCGGCGGCGTTAGCTAACTTCTTAAAAGCTTTATATTTTAGAAGATGGAAGACCTGGATGCTTCATACTTTGTATATGGATGCCTCATGTTACGAAGTTTCCGTCAGTCACATGTCCAATGTCCTTGACCTCATTTTCATGGTTCAGTGACTACTTGAAAAAAAAGTTCAGATTTTTTGTAATGTTAAATTCTCTCTTATTATAAGTAATAGGATAACTATATTTGGTATGTGCGTACCTTGCAAGGTCCTCATGCCTGTCAGACAGTTTTCACTTGACGTCGACCTCATTTCATGGATCAGTGAACAAGGTTAAGTTTTGGTGGTCAAGTCCATATCTCAGATACTATAAGCAATAGGTCTAGTATATTCGGTGTATGGAAGGACTGTAAGGTGTACATGTCCAACTGGCAGGTGTCATCTGACCTTGACCTCATTTTCATGGTTCAGTGGTTATAGTTAAGTTTTTGTGTTTTGGTCTGTTTTTCTTATACTGTATGCAAAAGGTCTACTATATTTGGTGTATGGAATGATTGTAAGGTGTACATGTCTAGCTGGCAGGTGTCATCTGACCTTGACCTCATTTTCATTGTTCAGTGGTCAAAGTTAAGTTTTTGAGTTTTGGTCTTTTTTTCTAATACTATGTGCAATAGTTCAACTTTATTTGGTATGTGCGTACCTTGCAAGGTCCTCATGCCCGTCAGACAGTTTTCACTTGACCTCGACCTCATTTCATGGATCAATGAACAAGGTTAAGTTTTGGTGGTCAAGTCCATATCTCAGATACTATAAGCAATAGGTCTAGTATATTCGGTGTATGGAAGGACTGTAAGGTGTACATGTCCAACTGGCAGGTGTCATCTGACCTTGACCTCATTTTCATGGTTCAGTGGTTATAGTTAAGTTTTTGTGTTTTGGTCTGTTTTTCTTATACTGTATGCCATAGGTCTACTATATTTGGTGTATGGAATGATTGTCAGGTGTACATGTCTAGCGGGCAGGTGTCATCTGACCTTGACCTCATTTTCATGGTTCAGTGGTCAAAGTTAAGTTTTTGAGTTTTGGTCTTTTTTTCTAATACTATGTGCAATAGTTCAACTTTATTTGGTATGTGCGTACCTTGCAAGGTCCTCATGCCCGTCAGACAGTTTTCACTTGACCTCGACCTCATTTCATGGATCAATGAACAAGGTTAAGTTTTGGTGGTCAAGTCCATATCTCAGATACTATAAGCAATAGGTCTAGTATATTCGGTGTATGGAAGGACTGTAAGGTGTACATGTCCAACTGGCAGGTGTCATCTGACCTTGACCTCATTTTCATGGTTCAGTGGTTATAGTTAAGTTTTTGTGTTTTGGTCTGTTTTTCTTATACTGTATGCCATAGGTCTACTATATTTGGTGTATGGAATGATTGTCAGGTGTACATGTCTAGCGGGCAGGTGTCATCTGACCTTGACCTCATTTTCATGGTTCAGTGGTCAAAGTTAAGTTTTTGAGTTTTGGTCTTTTTTTCTAATACTATGTGCAATAGTTCAACTATATTTGGTATGTGCGTACCTTGCAAGGTCCTCATGCCCGTCAGACAGTTTTCACTTGACCTCGACCTCATTTCATGGATCAATGAACAAGGTTAAGTTTTGGTGGTCAAGTCCATATCTCAGATACTATAAGCAATAGGTCTAGTATATTCGGTGTATGGAAGGACTGTAAGGTGTACATGTCCAACTGGCAGGTGTCATCTGACCTTGACCTCATTTTCATGGTTCAGTGGTTATAGTTAAGTTTTTGTGTTTTGGTCTGTTTTTCTTATACTGTATGCAATAGTTCAACTATATTTGGTGTATGGAAATATTTTATGATCTATTTGGCAGTCACGCAGGTTTTATTTGACCTTGACCTCATTTTCAAGGTTCATTGCTCAGTGTTAAGTTTTTGTGTTTTGGTCTGTTTTTTGTCGAGCCTGCGACTTTTGTCGCAGAAAGCTCGACATAGGGATAGCGATCCGGCGGCGGCGGCGGCGGCGGCTACGGCGGCGGCGGCGGCGTTAGCTAACTTCTTAAAAGCTTTATATTTTAGAAGATGGAAGACCTGGATGCTTCATACTTTGTATATGGATGCCTCATGTTACGAAGTTTCCGTCAGTCACATGTCCAATGTCCTTGACCTCATTTTCATGGTTCAGTGACTACTTGAAAAAAAAGTTCAGATTTTTTGTAATGTTAAATTCTCTCTTATTATAAGTAATAGGATAACTATATTTGGTATGTGCGTACCTTGCAAGGTCCTCATGCCCTTCAGACAGTTTTCACTTGACCTCGACCTCATTTCATGGATCAGTGAACAAGGTTAAGTTTTCGTGGTCAAGTCCATATCTCAGATACTATAAGCAATAGGTCTAGTATATTCGGTGTATGGAAGGACTGTAAGGTGTACATGTCCAACTGGCAGGTGTCATCTGACCTTGACCTCATTTTCATGGTTCAGTGGTTATAGTTAAGTTTTTGTGTTTTGGTCTGTTTTTCTTATACTGTATGCAATAGTTCAACTATATTTGGTGTATGGAAATATTTTATGATCTATTTGGCAGTCACGCAGGTTTTATTTGACCTTGACCTCATTTTCAAGGTTCATTGCTCAGTGTTAAGTTTTTGTGTTTTGGTCTGTTTTTTGTCGAGCCTGCGACTTTTGTCGCAGAAAGCTCGACATAGGGATAGCGATCCGGCGGCGGCGGCGGCGGCGGCTACGGCGGCGGCGGCGTTAGCTAACTTCTTAAAAGCTTTATATTTTAGAAGATGGAAGACCTGGATGCTTCATACTTTGTATATGGATGCCTCATGTTACGAAGTTTCCGTCAGTCACATGTCCAATGTCCTTGACCTCATTTTCATGGTTCAGTGACTACTTGAAAAAAAAGTTCAGATTTTTTGTAATGTTAAATTCTCTCTTATTATAAGTAATAGGATAACTATATTTGGTATGTGCGTACCTTGCAAGGTCCTCATGCCCTTCAGACAGTTTTCACTTGACCTCGACCTCATTTCATGGATCAGTGAACAAGGTTAAGTTTTCGTGGTCAAGTCCATATCTCAGATACTATAAGCAATAGGTCTAGTATATTCGGTGTATGGAAGGACTGTAAGGTGTACATGTCCAACTGGCAGGTGTCATCTGACCTTGACCTCATTTTCATGGTTCAGTGGTTATAGTTAAGTTTTTGTGTTTTGGTCTGTTTTTCTTATACTGTATGCAATAGGTCTACTATATTTGGTGTATGGAATGATTGTAAGGTGTACATGTCTAGCTGGCAGGTGTCATCTGACCTTGACCTCATTTTCATGGTTCATTGGTCAAAGTTAAGTTTTAGAGTTTTGGTCTTTCTTTCTAATACTGCATGCAATAGGTCAGCTATATTTGGTGTATGGAATGATTGTAAGGTGTACATGTCTAGCTGGCAGGTGTCATCTTACCTTGACCTCATTTTCATGGTTCAGTGGTCAAAGTTAAGTTTTTGAGTTTTGGTCTTTTTTTCTAATACTATATGCAATAGTTCAACTATATTTGGTGTATGGAAATATTTTATGATCTAAATGTCAGTTACGCAGGTTTTATTTGACCTTGACCTCATTTTCAAGGTTCATTGCTCAGTGTTAAGTTTTTGTGTTTTGGTCTGTTTTTCTTAAACTATAAGCAATAGGTCAACTATATTTGTTGTATGGAAGAATTGTTAGCTGTACATGCCTGCCTAGCATGGTTCATCTGACCTTGACCTCATTTTCATGGTTCATTGGTCAATGTTTAGTTTACTTGGTTAATGTTAAGTTTATGTGACAGTTGTAATAAAGCTTTATATTTAGGACTATCAACATAATACCAATGATTAGTAAAGAAGGCGAGACATTTCAGCGTGTGCACTCTTGTCTTAAACTATAAGCAATAGGTCAACTCTATTTGTTGTATGGAAGAATTGTTAGCTGTACATGCCTGCCTAGCATGGTTCATCTGACCTTGACCTCATTTTCATGGTTCATTGGTCAATGTTTAGTTTACTTGGTTAATGTTAAGTTTATGTGACAGTTGTAATAAAGCTTTATATTTAGGACTATCAACATAATATCAATGATTAGTAAAGAAGGCGAGACATTTCAGCGTGTGCACTCTTGTTATCAAAAATATACTAATTTTTTGTTGTTAAAAAGCATTGATGCAGAAAATGGGTCATGTAAAATCTGGACAGGGGCCATTCAGAGGGGGTCTCACTAATTAGCGACAAGAAGCGTCAAGAAGCAACAAGAAGAATAAATATAGCGACAAGAAGCGACAAGAAGACTATTTAGCGACAAGAAAACTTTAAAAAAAATATTATTAGAATAAATATATTAAAAAAAATATGCATTGACAGCAATAAAGAGATTTTCATTTTTTTTTATTATATTGATAGATGAAGAAATTTAGAGTCAAGATAACATTTGGAGGTTTGCCTGTGATCTGAACAATTTCTTTCAAAGAATTAATATTGATGACAGCTTGCATATATCATCAGCAGTTTTGTTTTTTTAATAGGATATGTACCTATGTATTCTGCTATTGCTTTATTCATGGTTTCAAGAGAATGGCCAGGCATTTTTTTCGAACCAGCTGATTATTTTCTTGTAAGAATTACTTCTTTTCATAGAAGCATAATGACGCTTAAGGATAAACAAATTAGATTCATGGTTGGAGTAAAGGACGTGTGTCCCTTATTGTATTGCTACAATGACATTCAATTAACACCTATAACTGTGTACACGCGTCAGACTATACAACTACACGCGCCAGAAAATACAATAATTGTAAATAGTGAGCAAGTGTTGAACACTCACCTTTAATCTTCAATCAACTTTAAAGAGGGTGGTAAAGGGTTATTTTCGTGCAACGTAATCACCGTTTTTTATTTCACGTTCAACGTGTTTTTATACGACCGCAAAAAATTTTTTGTGGTCGTATATTGGTATGACGTTGGCGTCGGCGTCGTCGGCATCGTCGTTGTTGTCCAAAGACACTTTAGTTTTCGCACTCTAACTTTAGTTTAAGTGAATGGATCTCAATGAAATTTTACCATAAGGTTCAATACCACAAAAGGAAGGTGGGGATTGATTTTGTGGGTTATGGTACCAACCATTCAGGAATTAGGGGCCAAAAAGGGGCCAAAAATAAGCATTTTTGTAACTTCCAGACATAACTTGAGTGTAAGTGTATGGATCTCTCTGACATTGTACCACAAGGTTCCATATCACAAAGGGAATGCTGGGATTGATTTTGGGGGTAATTGCCTTCAAATTTTAGGAATTAGGGGCCAAAAAGGGGCAAAAAACAAGCATTTTTCTAGTTTCATGACAATCACTTGTGTGTAAGTGTATGGATCTTTATGAAATTGTACTACAAGGTTCCATATCACAAAGGGAAAGCTGAAATTGAGTTTGGGGGTAATTGCCCAAAAAGTTTAGGAATAAGGAACCAAAAAGAGGCCAAAAATAAGCATTTTTCTAGTTTCCAGACAATAACTTGTGTTCAAGTGTATGGATCTCTCTGAAATTGTACTGCAAGGTACCATACCACAAAGGGAAGGCTGGGATTGAGTTTGGGGGTGATTAATCATAAGGGGGTTCAAAAAATTGGGGGGGGGGATTTTTTTTCCTTTTTTTTCTTTAAAATTTTCCATTTTTGTCGAGCCTGCGACTTTTGTCGCAGAAAGCTCGACATAGGGATAGTGATCCGGTGGCGGCGGCGGCGGCGGCGGCGGCGTTAGCTAACTTCTTAAAAGCTTTATATTTTAGAAGGTGGAAGGTCTGGATGCTTCATACTTTGTATATGGATGCCTCATGTTACGAAGTTTCCGTCAGTCACATGTCCAATGTCCTTGACCTCATTTTCATGGTTCAGTGACTACTTGAAAAAAAAGTTCAGATTTTTTGTAATGTTAGATTCTCTCTTATTATAAGTAATAGGATAACTATATTTGGTATGTGCGTACCTTGCAAGGTCCTCATGCCCGTCAGACAGTTTTCACTTGACCTCAACCTCATTTCATGGATCAGTGAACAAGGTTAAGTTTTGGTGGTCAAGTCCATATCTCAGATACTATAAGCAATAGGTCTTGTATATTCGGCGTATGGAAGGATTGTAAGGTGTACATGTCCAACTGGCAGGTGTCATCTGACCTTGACCTCATTTTCATGGTTCAGTGGTTATAGTTAAGTTTTTGTGTTTTGGTCTGTTTTTCTTATACTGTATGCCATAGGTCTACTTTATTTGGTGTATGGAATGATTGTAAGGTGTACATGTCCAGCGGGCAGGTGTCATCTGACCTTGACCTCATTTTCATGGTTCAGTGGTCAAAGTTAAGTTTTTGAGTTTTGGTCTTTTTTTCTAATACTATATGCAATAGTTCAACTATATTTGGTATGTGCGTACCTTGCAAGGTCCTCATGCCCGTCAGACAGTTTTCACTTGACCTCAACCTCATTTCATGGATCAGTGAACAAGGTTAAGTTTTGGTGGTCAAGTCCATATCTCAGATACTATAAGCAATAGGTCTTGTATATTCGGTGTATGGAAGGATTGTAAGGTGTACATGTCCAACTGGCAGGTGTCATCTGACCTTGACCTCATTTTCATGGTTCAGTGGTTATAGTTAAGTTTTTGTGTTTTGGTCTGTTTTTCTTATACTGTATGCCATAGGTCTACTTTATTTGGTGTATGGAATGATTGTAAGGTGTACATGTCCAGCGGGCAGGTGTCATCTGACCTTGACCTCATTTTCATGGTTCAGTGGTCAAAGTTAAGTTTTTGAGTTTTGGTCTTTTTTTCTAATACTATATGCAATAGTTCAACTATATTTGGTATGTGCGTACCTTGCAAGGTCCTCATGCCCGTCAGACAGTTTTCACTTGACCTCAACCTCATTTCATGGATCAGTGAACAAGGTTAAGTTTTGGTGGTCAAGTCCATATCTCAGATACTATAAGCAATAGGTCTTGTATATTCGGTGTATGGAAGGATTGTAAGGTGTACATGTCCAACTGGCAGGTGTCATCTGACCTTGACCTCATTTTCATGGTTCAGTGGTTATAGTTAAGTTTTTGTGTTTTGGTCTGTTTTTCTTATACTGTATGCCATAGGTCTACTATATTTGGTGTATTGCTCGATATTGTAAGGTGTACATATCGAGCGGGCAGGTGTCATCTGACCATGACCTCATTTTCATGGTTCAGTGGTCAAAGTTAAGTTTTTTGAGTTTTGGTCTTTTTTTCTAATACTATATGCAATAGTTCAACTATATTTGATGTATGGAAATATTTTATGATCTATTTGGCAGTCACGCAGGTTTTATTTGACCTTGACCTCATTTTCAAGGTTCATTGCTCAGTGTTAAGTTTTTGTGTTTTGGTCTGTTTTTCTTAAACTATAAGCAATAGGTCAACTATATTTGTTGTATGGAAGAATTGTTAGCTGTACATGCCTGCCTAGCATGGTTCATCTGACCTTGACCTCATTTTCATGGTTCATTGGTCAATGTTTAGTTTACTTGGTTAATGTTAAGTTTATGTGACAGTTGTAATAAAGCTTTATATTTAGGACTATCAACATAATATCAATGATTAGTAAAGAAGGCGAGACATTTCAGCGTGTGCACTCTTGTTAATTGGTTATTTCTGATTTATATATAAAAGCAAATAATAATGATATGGTTTGAATAGGTAAATTAAAATTTTTTTAAGTTCTTAGACCACATTCATTCTGTGTCGGAAACCTATGCTGTGTCAAATATTTAATTACAATCCAAATTCAGTGCTGTATCATTAGCTTGAATGTTGTGTCCATACTTGCCCCAACTGTTCAGGGTTCGACCTCTGCAGTCATATCAAGCTGCGCCCCAGCGGAGCATTTTATTACTTTTTTAATTGACATTCAGTCGTGCAAGACAGGTGCCTCGTTCAACGTGTTCTGCTTATTTAATTTTACGTGCATCGTGATTTTGAAATGCTTATTTTGCGTGCTCGGTATTTTTCAAATAAAATTCAAACACTTGGCAGGGATCTTCAAGAAAAAAATGGATTCAATTTTGTTTTTTGATAAAGCGGAAAGGCCTTTGATGTTGTTCCTTATCGATTTTGGAGCTTCCAAGATATATTTACTGGTTTGGCCTAACACATTGCTCATTAAATATTAAGTAACTACATCACACTGACATTTTATTGTCTAAACAAATTTGTAACGGGCCATACATTTTTTTGTTGTATTCTTTCGATTTGATTCAGTTTGCGATAAGTTCAAAATCGTTGTACCATATACCATAGTCCTCTAGTATGAATATGTTGATGGATTGCTGTATTGCCATATATGTTCTCTAGTTCATGATTGTAATGTTAGAAAACATAAAAAAATAAAAGGACTAATGAGACCTGCATGGTATGAATTACTAGGGAAAGCTGTAGGATTAGGGATATATTACAATCAACTTGTGCTTCTGTTCGTCAATCCAACAAATATTTCCGTTAGATTTTTCTAAGAAACAACTTTACATAATGACTTCATACTAATTAAGTTCAAATCTGATATGTTTTTAACATGTGAACACTTTTCGAATCTCCTAGATACATGCTTCCTCATTGGCGATTCTTTGAATTTTTTGGTAAAATGAAAAGAATGACTTTAAATAGGATCGACATCTTAACAGTGATGAGCTTTAACGTGTTTGCACCTCCCATCATCTGTCAGTTCAAACTTCCAATTTCTGATACTTTTAACCACGAGTCGTGGTAGCTGGTGGCATGGATAACATGACAACGTGTTTATTCTTGTTAATAAAGACAATGAAATAGATCAAGAATACACTTTCGTGTCTGCGGGATAATTGCATTTTAAAAGTTAAGAAGATCGTTATATACTTTTTTAAAAGCCGCAAACCATTTATATTATAAATGTGTATACCAAATCGGGAATATGAAGTAAAACAGAGAGTTTATATATACAAGAAGACGGTGACTCAGTCACAAAAGGTTCACATCAAAGTCTTTATTTTTCGTGCAACGTTCATGACAGAAATTATTTCACGTTCAACGTGAAATTATGTCTTATTTCACGTTTTTTTTCCGTGCAAGCACCCCCCCCCCCCCCCCCCCCCCCTATTACCACCCTCTTTAAACTATGCATAAACATCATGCATATCGTTTGATAAGTTAATACCCAAATAAAATATTCACGTTTTAGTAACATTATCTTTTCTGGACACTGATTCAGGTATAATGCATTTTGCATGCAGTCAGTTTATTATATTTTAGACAAAGAGAGTGTTAAAAAATTCATAAAATAAATATATTATTGTTCTAAAACACAAGAACATGTAAAAATTAATATCATACCCTGACAGGGAAATTTCTATATCAAGTTATCAATATCAGAGACATATAATTGTATTATATGTCTCTGTCAATATCTTATCAATATATTCAGAAACATATACTAAATGTATTTAAATGTCTCTGGTATATTTAAAAAAAAATGAAAATCACTATACTTTCCGTATATTAAAATAAAAATGTCAATGCATATTTTTTGAAATATATTTATTTTAATAATATTTTTATTAAGTTTTCTTGTCGCTAAAAAGTCTTCTTGTCGCTTCTTGTCGCTAAATTTATTCTTCTTGTCGCTTCTTGACGCTTCTTGTCGCTACAATTCTTCTTGTCGCTAATTAGTGAGACCGTTCAGAGGAAAAGAAATTATATTTTAGGGATGCTAAATGTGGCTTATCCAAATGGAAAAAGGACAAAAATGAATGTTGCACGCTTGGCAAAAATGTTACAGTTAAAAACAATTGACATTGATAGAAATTTAGATGCCTCGCACCTCTGCCATAATACCTTGTGTGTTAATGCTGACCATATAATTTTTGAGCCCCATGATTTAAATAACCACCGTAAGGTCTGTGTAACTTCACAAAAATGCACCACTCATGAACTGCATGGCACAACATATCCAAACTGCATGTTGCATCTTAAACTGTGGTTTGTTCTATTTTTAATTCTAAAATTTAAGTCTCCGAGGTGACATATTGCACACTTCACTATGCATGAATCATTTACTCAAATACAGGTTTCTTACACTGCTAAAAAAATGAAAATGGGATAAAAGCCCTCCCTCTCACCCTCCAAGACACTGAAACAAACATGCATGTTTATATTAACCTGTGGTAACACATTTTACGGCTTGTTTCACGAGTGTTTACATTTTATTGACATAGGAGGGGGAGTAACTCTTGTTGTTTACAAATGTATTTTTAACTGTGTCAGGAAATTGGGACATTCAAACCACATGAACCAACTAAAGTAAGCATGCTTTAAAAGAAATCTTCAATATAAAAACCAAACAAATCAAAACAAAAACTACAAAATTATAAAATTAGGATATCAAAAGTAAAATAAAAAGCTAACAGAACTGAAATAGTTGCAAATGGAAGTAAATATGGACATGATTTTATTTTATTTTATTTCCTTGTATGTTGTATCAATGAATGTGTGCATGATAGGAAAAATAAACTTTTATGCAATACATGTGTGTTAATTTGCATGTATGATGCTGTGTGTGGTATGTTTCAATGTCTTGGACCGTTAATTATTCCATTTTCAAAACAGTTAAAATGAAACAAACAATACAAATAACTCAAAACAACATGCACATGCATATTACTGAAAGTTTTTGATTTATCATCACAATAATTTAAATAACATTTATTAATCCCTGTAATCATTGAAAATAAATAAAAAAAATAAATAAATTGATACATGTTGTAATATTTCCTGAAATATTGCTGAAAGAAAAATGGAAATTGTGACCTTGTTAATTTAGCCAAAAACTACAACCAGGCTGTGGAACAAACTCTTTGCAGCTAGTTATCTGACTAAGCTTTGGTTCTAACCCAAGTCAAAGTGGACAGCAGTTCTTTAGCAGTTTATTAGCATTCACAGTTCTTACTTGACAGCTGTTCTTTAGCAGTTCATTAGCATTCACAGTTGCCAAATTCAAGGCAATAGTTAATTTGCATATAGGCATTCCAATAGCATTCCATAGCAGTTTCTTAGCAGTTTATTTAGCCTTCACAGTTATTTAGCAGTTATTTTTGACGAAAAATTTAAATGAGATACTCAAAAACTGCTATCTTCTCTGAATATTCATGAGAACTGCTATAATAACAGCTATCAATAATGAATATTCATAGAAACTGCTAAGTTGCACATCCTAATATGGCTTTCTAAACTGCTAATAACTGCTATGGAATGCTATCAGATCTGTCAAAAGTTGGAATACAAAGGTACACATGAATATACAGTGTACAAGATATGAATGCAAAAATAAAATTCTAATATTTTACTGCAAGTTGAAATTTCAAAAAGTTGCACCAACTTATATTTGTGATTTGAGCAGTAACTGCAATCAAATGACTCTATTTTAATCCAATAACAGACTTGTTAAGGGGTGTAAACATGCTTTGTGAGTACTGTACCTGGCCTTATATCCCTTATTAATTATGTCAATGGCAGAATAATAGGAACAGTTAAGAATTATAATGCACTTTAAATATCAGTGCTTATAAAAATCAACTTATTCAATAAGAGTGGTTACTTAAGAGACTATTTATTACCTTGACTAAGTGATTTTCAGATTAAAAGTTATTTTATTTTTTATTATTTAATAACCAAATGTACTTCTAATTTCACTTCTACTATATATATTTTGTGTGGACCAAAAGAAAACAGTTATCTCCTCTTTTTCTTTTGGAATTACACAGAATAATTCTTAATACATGTAATATATTATGTTTCCACTTTCTGAAAAAAATTTAAGTAACATATATTAACTTCATAATATTCTCTCCCCCTTTTTCAACTCTTGAATATGATTTATTTTTGTTTTGTTTACAAAATTATATTAAAATATTCATATTTTTATTTTCAAATGACATCTTGCACTGTTAGTATATGCTAGTATTTTATTACAATCCTATCATCATCAGATATTCTATTTGAATAAACAACTATCCCCCCTTTTTTGGGGCTTTCTGTATTATTTCTGTTTTTTCCTTCAAAGTTATGTCAGAAAATACACATGCATTATCTGTAACTTCAACATACTGTACTGCAGGTGTGAGAAATTAT